GTTTCCCAGGACCCTGATGGGGGACAGGAGAAGGAGCTTCAAGGCAGGCTGGTACCATATCCACCCCTGGCTTGAATATTCTCAACAGATGGACTCGGCGTATTGTTACGCTTGCAGATATTTTAGCCCTCCTAATACTGTTTTTTTCTCATCACTATAATGTTATGACTACAATGCTTTCAAAGTTTGATGAAATTAAAAGTCAAATAATATTTCGAATCTGTCTTTTTAGCCCTGGGTTGAATGTGCCCCTCCATCAAAACCCCCGGCCCTAGCCCGGCCCCCTCAGTGAAACTGATCTAGAACCGCCACTGCAACAGACACTACACGCTGCACATTTTATGAAAACTTTCCTATTGGTCCCTTTTTGTCCTTTCATCCATATAAACGTAATTTATGTTTCCATAAATGTTCAAATAAACATGGATCATGATATTGTGAGCACATTCATTAACAAATGTGATTTTTGATCAACGGCAATATGAATCTCATTGCAGGGAATGGTAATCAATCTATCTTCATTACAATTTGAACTAATAATGGGCCAATCTCAACCCTGAAACTCCAAGGCTGAAAATGAGTCCAGCCATCTCGTTACCTCTGCGTCCCGCGTCCTAGACGCATAATTTTCCCGCAAAAAAAAAAAAAAACTAAAGCAGGCCTGAGGATTTCACGGTAACGATCGTTACCGGTAGTGTGTCGTTTCCGTGGCGTAATTTTGACAGTATCGAAAAATCGTTTCCCATAAAAGTCACCGCACACGAGTTGATTGTACGCGATCGAATCTCTCCTGTGTGAAAAAAACGCGATTTCACTGTGCCTGTATGTGTGTTTGTGGTGTGGTGTGATTACACATGCATGGGAAGAGGATGTCAAGCCACATCAATACTTATTGATGTATTAATGATTACCAGTAAATTAATTTTTGCAGTGTGAGGCTGGAAAAAATACTCTGATTTTGTGGTATGCTGTATTCATGATGCCATATGAGTACAACATATTTTGATCCATTTATTTTGTTCAATAAACCTGGAGTACACAACTGCTGATGTAATGTTCATTGTTAATGCATAGTTTTCAAACATATACCCTTGAAACATTATACGTTTGAGTTTCAGAATTCTTGATTATGAATATCAGTCAAAATAGAAAAATGGGTTCCCATGATGAACGTTTACGGAAACCAAAATTAGTTACCATGGTTTCCCATTGGATAATCCGATGGAACCGAAAAATGGTTACCGTGAATTTCCGAAATCCTCAGGCCTGCTACGGTACATCTTTTTTTCCCGCAATGATCGCAGTTTGACAATCGCCGCCATAGTTGTTTTGATCTCGCGTTAAGTAATCTCGCGTGACGAGAGTTCCGTTCTCGCGAGACGAGATTGGCGAGGTCGGCCTTCACCTCGCGGAAAGCAGACGATTGCCAAGTCGTGTAACGTTAAAACAAGTGTTGCGAACAGGTGTTGTGAAAATTTATTGTGGAGATATCACAGAGGAAGCAGCTAAAGTTGGATAGTTTTTTGCGATAATAAATTGACTTTGAGAAAGCCTTGCATCATTGGAAGCAGAGTAAAGAGAGGAGAATTTATGAACTCAAAGACTGAACGATGGGATGAAATAAGAACCTATTTCTCAGCAAATCTTGTATGCCTGAATTATTTAAATTTTTGCAGCATTTGTTTATAAGAAATAAACCTGTTATCAATGTACGTATATTGTTGTTGTTTGTGTTATTATATGCAAGTGAAGAAGTAGACCATTTCAGAATTCGAAATTTGGGACTCTACATGCATAATGGGACTCATACTTTTCTGATCAGCGAGTCCCTGGGACTCGCTGGGGTTAAACTGTAAAATTATCACTGTGAGTCCCACTCCAGCCCTGTGTTACAGCTGTGTTACTTGCCAAAAATGTCCACTTTTTCCTGAACTTTTCAAAAGATATTCTTGACTAGCATCGTTTGAAAAACGTTTCACCAATTTTTTTAAATGTCTGACGCGGTACCCAAACAAATGAATTGCAACATTGTATGTATTGAAATTAAATTATATATTCAAAGAAAGAACAGCAAATAACAGAGAATAAGTGAGAGGACTGTAGTTTTTCTGATTTGCAGCTTATCTTATATACTGTAAGTAGTTGTGTTCCATGCGATAGTCTGAATGTGCTCTCTTGTCTTGCCTCTTTTCAGTCCTTCATTCCTGCCTAACCCACCAGCACAAAATGTATATAATTTTGTTGAATAGAACAAGACATTTAGCTCAAAACACCTCCTTTTTAATTATATTTGAATTAGTTTGGGGGTATATCTTACTTGTGTGACTTATGATCAAGGATGTTATGTCCCAGAGTCATGTGGTTGATAAGACTCCTGCTGTACAGGGCCCTTGTATCGATAGTCACGGAGAGCAGACTGTGGCAAAATTTCATTCCCATTTCTTCCAGTTCCCTGGTTCTTGTCTGTAGACCCTATACACAAACAAAGAGGCAGTGACAATGCACACAAGAAAATGTACTGAATGTTGCTGTAATCAGGATGGAAACATCAAAATGTACACGCAGGATGGGCATGTCATATAAACAATGGCCTTTGAATTGTATCTTTTACACTTTGATTTTTCCATGGTAGATTTCGCTTTTTTCCTGTGGGCACTCCGGATTCCTACCTGTTACAGCCCTGGCCGTACATGTGCCTTGTGTTTTGAGAATGTGTGGAACTGATGTCCCTCTCGTGTTGTGTATCAGTGTGTATGGGTGTGCTCTCATTTTTTGGAGGATCTCTGTGGAGACTTTGGTGACGGACTGTGACTGGGTGAAAAGGCAGAACCAGCCTAGAGGGATGCAGGCCTCCCTGATTGGCCATGAGAGGCCATCCACCGGCAATTCAAAGAGTCTCTGGGGTGTGACAGCAAGCAGTATGAATTTGACTCGGCCTCCAAACCAGTGAATTGCTTGATATCATTATGAATGATGATATTGATGATCATGTTGAAGAGATTGGCCAATATGAGCAATTTATTCACAAGTGCTCTTTGATTTTTGAGCAGCAACTGTTAACATATGTGAATGATAATTCCAAAGCGGTGCTTATCATGAGTCTTTTGACTGGTAAAGCTCCTTCTTGGGCACTAGCAATGAGCAATGCTAAACCCAAACTCTGGCCTTCCTACCCCGATTTCATCACTGAGTTACGTCGGGTATTCCACCATCCGGTCTGGGGAAAGGAGGCCAGAGGTCAGTTATTGGATTGTGTTCAGGGTAACCAATCGGTTGCTGATTACTCCATATTTTTCCACATTTTTACTGCTAAGAGCGGATTTATCGATCGCGCATTATGCAATATTTTCCGGCACGGTTTTAGCTCCCATGTTGAAAGACGAATTGGCCATACGGGAAGAACCAAGTTATTTAGAGGAACTCATTGCCATGGCTATACACTTGGCTTATTGCATATTGGAGAGATGCCGAGAGCATGGTCTAGGATGCACCTGGAGACCTTCCGGTCCAACACCGCTACGACCCGCTCCGATGACCAGCCACCAAGTTCCAGAGACTCCTGAGCCACTTTCTGAGGAACCTATGCAGCGAGGTGGTGGTCGACTTCATCTTAGGAGAGGCAGCGAATTAATGTTTTATTGATCCCGGTGTTGTCAAAGGTTTAGTTTGTTCCACGGAGGAACTATCCCAAATTAAGAGAGTCGCTGATTTTGATGGGCATCTCTTGGCAGATGTTAACTTTGTTATGGCTCCGCTTCAATTCCGTCTTTGCGGAAATCACACTGAATTGCAGAGGTTTTTTGTGATGCCGTCTCGCGCTGTGTCCTGTTATTTTAGGATTACCATGGTTTAAGACGCATAACCCCGATATTAATTGGAATCTTCCCTCAATTGAGAACTGTTTAAGATTAGCGCAAGAACACAAGACTAATCAGTTTGCTGTCATTCCCTTAGAAAAAAAAAATCTGTTTGGCTCAAATACCTGCTTCATACCACGATTTAGGCAAGATTTTTAGTTAAGATCTTGCTATGTCTTCTCTGCCTCATTGTCCCAATGATTGTACAATTGAACTCCTTCCTAATTCAGCATTACCTGGTTCTTGCCTTGACCAGGGTTTGCAACCTGAACAAGAGATGTTAAAGGAATACATTTCCAATGCCTTAGCGGCAGTACTCATTCAGTTGTCTTCTTCCCCCATGGGGGCTGGATTTTTTTATTCATTTTTTTTGGATTGAAAAGAAAGAAAAGATATTAAGGCCATGTGTTGATTGCCGGGGACTAAATGAAATCACTGTAATAAATAAATACCCTCTTCCTCTGTCAGATTCGGCATTCGCAGACTTACAGACAGCAACTATCTTTTCTAAATTTTCTGAACTAGACCATTGCAATGCATACCAGTTAGTCTGCATGCGGGAGGCAGATGAGTGGAAGACGGCCTTCAACACTACTTGAGGACATTTCGAATATCTAGTTATGGCATGGCGGCCCGGTGGTCGACTGGTTAGCGCGTCGGCCTCACAGTGCGGCGGTGCGGAGTGCGATTCTGGTTCTGTCCTTCCTGTTTGGAGTTTGCATGTTCTCCCCATGCCGATATGGGTTTTCTCCAGGTACTCCGGCTTCCTCCTACATTCCCAAAATATGCACGGGAGGCTAATGGAACACTCTAAATTGTCCATAGGTGGGAGTGTGAGTGGGACGGGTTTTGAGGAGGACCCACCTCTCCGAAGGCCTCTTCCTGCAGCGTTTCATCTTCTTAAATGGATTCTTACATTGTTGCAAATAACACTGTACAGCATCATATTGTGTTAAATATTTGGCATCCATTGCAGGTTGGTCATCCTGGAAGGGGGATTCCCCCATTTGCTGCCCCTTCTCAAGGTTTCTCGGTTATCTCTTGATAATTTATTTTATTGTGAGCAATTTTTCCTTGCCCTCCTGAGGGTCATGATCAGGGGATGTTGTTAATATTTGACTCTGGGCCGATCTCATTGAACCCCTTTGGATTTGACACTGAGGATCTTTTTAACCACCTCATTGACCTCAACTTGGGGGATAGGAGAGCCTGCTTCAGAGATCCCAGTCTCTGCTTCCTCATGGCAAGGTGCGGCGGTGGAATTGAGGAGGTCTTCAAAGTATTCTCTCCACTGACTCTCAATGTCTCGAGTCAACGTCAGCAGCACCTCATCCCCACAATACACAGTGGTGATGGTGCATTGCTTCCCTATCCTGCGACGCAGGATGATGGACCAGAATATTCTCGAAGCCATCCATTAGTTGTTCTATATGGCTTCACCGAACTCCTTCCGTGCCCGAGTTTTTTGCCTCAGCGACCACCAAAGGCGCGTTCTGCTTGGCAAGCCTGTACCCATGGCCTTTCCATCCAATCACGCCCTTCCAAGTCTCACTGTCATTGCCCAAGTGAGCATTGAAGTCTACGAGCAGAACAATGGAGTCTCTCCAGCAACCTCTCCAAGGACTCCAAAAAGGGTAGGTACTCTGAACTGTTTGGTTGCATATGCAGAGGGATATTACCATTACCATCTCGTCCACCTGGGTAAACCCCAATGGACAAGCATCAAGTAGGAGGGCAATAAGTATGCCCACACCTGCTTGACGCCTCTTATCGTGGGCAACTCTACAGTGGAAGAGAGTCAAACCCTCATAGAGAATAAGCTGAGTGTGGACACAAGCCCGAATAGATATAGTCAGAACTTCTCGACCTCGCACACTCCTTTCCTGCCCCGAAAGGTGACATTCCATGTCCCAAGAGCCAGATTCTACAGCCGGGGAGTAAGGCTTCTGGCCTCTTGTCCACCTGGGTGAACCCCAATGGACAAGCATCAGGTAGGAGGGCAATAAGTATGTCCACATTTGCTTGGCGCCTCTTACCGTAGGCAACTTAACAGTGGAAGACAGTTCAGCCCCTCACAGAGAATAAGCTGAGTGTGGAGACAAGCCTGACTATATATAGTCAGCAGTGGTTATTGCTCTCGGAGTGCAAGGGAAGCTCAGCTTCCCCTAAAATGTCGAAGAATAAGTGATCAAATATATTAATGTAAATTTCATTGTGTGTACATGTCATTGACTAAATATGCACAACAACGTGCTCAACTTTTGTTCCGAATCAGCTTCTTCTTACTGGATACGACGCGACTCCCTTCTCATTCATTCCCGCAGCTTCGCTGTGCTTTAAACGGTGCACGCTGAGCGTCCGCTGAGCGTCTACTGCCCGGACGCTGAGCGTCTCGAGAGTTCAGTGTAGGTTTTCCCAATGCGTTGAACGGAGACGAGTCATTGGATACAAGTGTGTTTTTGTCCCGCCCACGGACGCTCGGCGTCTCTGGGACTGGATGGCAGTGGGCGGGTACCGTACACTCAGCTTTTCTGCATCAGATTGGATGATCTGTCTGAGCCTGTGTTCCAGTTTGATTGACATCGAAATGAGCCAATCACCGACCTTTTAGTGTAGGCATCCGTGTGAGCAATTTTTCAATTCCTATTCTGTTCTGAGTTGAGCTGGAGACTTCTCCTAATCAGCTTAGCGAGACTCTTTGTTGTAAACAACTAGCGACAAATTAGTATTTTATTTCTGGTGAGTTTTCTTGTAGTTGCTTGTGTTCGCAGACTGACTTATATCACTACAGTTTCCATCCTCACCTCAGCGGGTGCTGCTGAGCTCCTCCACCATCAATCAGCACTGGCCGTTGGACAAACTTCACACTCGCCTCGCGCTAGTCCCAGCTAGCAAGCTCCCAAAGTAGCAAGCCGCACATAATGGCAGACAATGTGAATGTTGTGGACCGGATTTTAGCGAAGCCATTTGAGAGTCTTCGTTACGAGGAAAAGCTTAGAGTCAAACAGCAGGGCAGATCAACTCCTCGGATTGATTTGGTGCAAACGGTGGGGAAACGTAACAGGTCTTTTCAGTTATCCTGGTATGGAAAGTGAGCTGGCTGACTGGCAGTGCTGTAACAAATAAAATGTACTGTTGGCCATGCCTCTTGATGAAACGATTTCAGGGATGTGTTGTCTGGTCAAAAGTGGGTTTTGAGGATCTCTCTAACTTTGACAGGGCATACAAAAGGCATGAAAAAAGCAGCGAACATGTGAGTGCATGTGCTAGGTTAAGTTGCCTTGGCAGAGTAAGGGTTGAGCATGTAATTAATGAAGGTGCTCGCATTCAATTGGCAAAACATAATGAAACTGTCAAACAGAACATCTTTCCTAAACCGCCTTATTGATGTGACTTCCTTGCTTGGCCATCAGGGGCTGTCTTTTCGGGGGCATGATGAGAGTGATGAATCATCCAACAAGGGGAATTACAGGGAGTTTACAGAAATATTCGCTAAATATGACTCTGTCCTAGCCACACAATTCCGGTCATCAACTGTGTTTTCTGGCATGTCCCATGCAATTCAAAATGACTTGATCTATGCTCTTTCAGCCACTGTTTCTGACGAGATAAAGGATGAAATTCAGGCTGCTCCCTTCTTTGCATGGCAGGTGGATGAAACAACTGATAGAGCTTGCCATGCTCAACTCTCGGTCATTGTTCGCTATGTGGATAGGGCAGGTAAAATTCAGGAGCGCTTTATTGGATTCTTTAATGTTCCTGGTGGAAGAGATGCTGAGTCTGTTTTTGAAATCTTGAACGAGAACATGCAGAAATACAATTTCAGGGAGAAACTTGTGGCACAAACCTATGATGGGGCTGCTGTCATGGCTTCGGACTCGAAAGGCTTAGAGGCCAAAGTTAAAGCAATTGCCCCCAGTGCATTGTTTGTGCATTGCTATGCACACAGACTGAATCTGGTTGTCTCAGGGGGCTAAATGCTTATCTGAGTGCAGAATATTTTTTGCATCACTCTCGGGATTTGCCACATTTTTCTCAAAGTCCACCAAAAGGATGTCTTTTCTTGAGTCTGCAGGCTGCTCAAGGTTGCCCAGAAATGCTCCTACTCGATGGAATTTGACATCACGGATAGTGAGCACTGTGGCAAACAATTATGATGCCCTCCTGCAAACCTTTGAGATGATCATTGCAGATAGGTCCATGGATGATGACACATTAGACTGTGCCAAAGGATTTCTGATGAAACTGGAGGATTTTTAGTTTGTGTTCATGTTGTACACATACGAACAAATCTTCTCTGAGACTGATGTGGTATTTGACATTGTCCAGCAGAGAGCTATGGATGTTCTCTACTGCAAGAAAAGAATTGAGTCTCTTCTTGCTTTTGTAAAAGAGAAGAGGTCAGAGGGGGCTTTCCAAGCTGTTTATGCCAAAGCAGCAGATCTCACATCAGACCCACAAACTCAGCCCATGAGAAAACGCCATAAGTCGCAACCACAGGATCCCAAGGAGCGCTACAGGAATCTGTACATGACCATCCTACACAATCTCACAGAGCAGATACCTCAGCGCTTTGCAGATTTGGAACGTCTGCGCTTCTTGGAATTAGTCAATCCAGGGAAGTTTGATGAGATGAGACAAGTGTTTCCAGAGGAGGCATTTCAGAATGTCCTTAAAGGTTTTGGCCAGTTCTCTGATTGAGGAAGACTGAGGTCTGATCTTCAAGTCCTATACTCAAACCAGGACTTGCAGGGCAACAAGGGAAAGCTGTGTGATTTCTTGTTGTTTCTGAAAGATATGGAGTCAGACAGTGCAATGCCTCAGGTCTACAAACTGCTTTCATTAGTGGCAACGATTGGAGCTACATCTGCAGGTGTAGAGAGGAGCTTCTCCTGTTTAGAGCGGCTCAAGTCTTACACCCGCAACACCATGGGTCAAGGCCGTTTAAGCAGCCTAGCTCTGCTGGCCATAGAGAGGACACTAGTTAAGTCCCTGGAAAAGACGCCTTATTGGTATGACAGGGTCACAGATCATTTTCTTGCAAAGGGACGGAGAATAGAATTCACATTTAAATAAATGGACATATTTTATGATGTCAGCCGAAATTGAGCTTCCCCTCCTTGACAGGCCAGCATCCGCCACTGGTCAGAATTTCTCAACCTCACAGGCTCCTTCCCTGCCCCGAGAGGCGACATTCCATCTCCCTAGAGCCAGCTTCTCCAGCTGGGGAGTAAGGCCTCTGGCCACTGCCCAGCTCACACTGCAGCCGACCCTCTTGCCCCACCTCCAGGCCTAGCTCCAGAGTGGGTCCCTGCGTCCGGGCAATGGAAAATGACGTTCACATCTGTAAATCAACATTGGGAATCTGTGATGCGAACTTTCTCTGGTCCCACACCTAGGCCCTGTTTACAATGGTTGACTTTGCTAGGGGCATAAAGCCCGAGGCAAATAAACTACTAGAATCATTGGTACATACAAACCCCTCCACCACAATAAGGTGATGGCTCATGAAGAGGTTGTTTTCTCACCCCTCTTACATTCTTCCATTTACTTTCGGTCTCGATCTCTGTCCTTTGTCCCTTCAGTCCAGGTTCTGTTTGAGATGTCTTCCTCGAATTATTTTTTTCAAATGAAAAGACACCAATGAATGATATTCATGCCCATACAGAATGTGTAAACTCAACTCCGGTCAAGAGTTCAATACAGTTTAGAGGAGTGTACACTACACATTCACGATTATGAATGTTCTGCTAACAGTCTGGAAACTTGTAACTTCTAATTTCACAAACCTTGTATATTCCCTGGTCAAAACCATTATAAGTGCTTTCCATGGTATAACTTCTCAGCACGCCCAACTCTTTCCAGACAACAATTCTGGCAGTGGCAGAACGGGACTTCTCTACCTGAGAAAACCAGATTAGTGAAAATTAGGAAGTGGAAAGAAAGGCACAATATTAGGACTGATATGATTCTAATAAATTGCTTATTTTGTCACTTCATAGAATTCGGATGATGATGCTCGTATATGCATTTATTTGTAAAAACTAAAACAAACATCTACCAACCTACCTGCAGTGGATATAAAATCTTTTTTTTTGTGGTTTAAAACAATATAAGCATAAGAGAAATAATTTAAAATCTGTATTCCCTTTATTGTGGTGGAACAAGTCATGGGAAACCTCATACTCTTGGGTGATTCAGAAGTACTGTATATGGAGATGTATGTGTAAATCAACATGATCAATCATGATTTTGATGCCAGTTGGCATCAAAATCAAGTTGTTCGTATTACCGTATAGCTGCAGCTGTTAAAAGAGAAGGCTGGTGCAATACGATCCAAGGCCTTTGCAAGAGTCTCGAAAAAGAAAAAGGGAAAAGAACGAAATAGTTTTAAGCAATGCCACCGCAAAAAAAAAAAAAAAAACGCTTTAGGCGTAGAAAAAAAAGTACCGTAGTGTGTTTCCGATAACCCGACCGACCGAGAATTTCTACGTCGAAAAAAAACTTTACAGTCGGCATTTTTTTCAAACAACCCTCTACATTTTTGTGTAAAGGGCTTACATCGGTGCAAACTCTCGCAATATTGACGTTTTGAGCGCGTGCGTCGTTTGCCCTGTCGTCTGTCAACAACATTGAAACATGGCGGCGCCCGCGATCTCCGACGACAGTTTAAACCGCTTTTTCTGTGTTACAGTCGCATGCTCCCACCGTAATGTGAAGAACGCCCCGGACCCCCAAGTCCGGAGCGGGGAGAAAAGTAAATTGGTGGCGGCGGCGCAGGCCGCGGAGCGGCGGGTTCAATGTCTTCTTGTTTTATGTTTTATGGTTATTTTGTTTAAATTTTTGATGGGGAAAAAAAAAAAAGATTAAAAAAAAAAAACTTTGTCCGACCTACCGACCCTATGCTGAAATTTCATGTTACCGGAAACACACAATCTTTTTTGTTTGGCCTTACATAAAAATCACAACACTATAATTTTGACATAAAACCATATCACTATAGTGTTGCTTTGCATTTGTCCTACCCTATATCCAGGGTCCTCTTTCAGTCCTGCAGTGTCAAATGTAGACCCTGATTGCCATAGAGTTTCCTTGACACTGCAGCCATACAGAAAAACATTTTTTTTCCTAGAATGCCCGTGATAGTCACAGAAGACCTGGAAGAAATATCAGACATTATGACATTTAGAAATGTACACCAACAAAAATAAACAGCATTAAACATTAAGACACACGCCCCTCCAAACCCCAGGACATTTCCTTTCTTTTAGCTGTCAACTGAAAATATTCGGGTTTGACATCAAAAGATGAAAGGAAATAACCCATCAACACTGAAACTTTTAATTCAAGATATTTACTTCTTTATTTGATATACAAGTTAGCCCATTATTTGTTTGAAACCACCCATTATGTGATTAAAAGTATTGGAACACGTGACTGACAGCTGTTTTGTTGCGTTTCTTACTACACTAATTATTGAAACAATAAATAACAATAAACGTAAACGTTTCAGATTTGGATTTGTCTCTGAAGACTCCATTTGTAAACTTTAAGAGTTGCAACCTACACAATAACCAAAGTGATGTCTATGAGAGAAAAACAAGCAACTATGAGGCTAAGAGAAGATGGAAAATCCCATCAGTCCAAATACTTCAACATTCATCAAAGTCAATACATTTACAACATAAACGTATTGGTCGCTTTGAAGAAAATGCGAAAATAGCTGTCCTAATACAAGCATCACAAAGATGTACTGATAAATTCCATGTCCTGCTACACCATAGGTGTCAAACTCAGGTCCTGGAGGGCCACTGTCCTGCATGTTTTCCAAGTCTCCCTGTTGCAGCACACCTGATTCTAATGAACAGATTCAATGTCAGGCTTCCGCAGAGCTTGCTGATGATATGATCATTTGAATCAGGTGTGTGGCAACAGGGAAACTTGGAAAACATGCAGGACAGCGGCCCTCCAGGACCTGAGTTTGACACCTATGTGCTACACACTCTTCAAATAAGGGTCACAGAGCCATGTATCACCTCAGGCATCACTCTAAGTTCCAAACAAAAATACACAGGATTGACACACCTAAAACACGACACCATCGTTCAACTCTGCAAGTTTCCTATATATAAGCAGACTATATGCAAAATATAATGCCTGTGCCATATTTGTGAATATCTGAGGTCAAAGCATGATTGTGTTGTTCCCAACACACATACAGGGTAGACCAGGGGTGTCCAAACTCAGTCCTCAAGGGCCACTGTCCTGCCTGTTTTCTAGCTCTCCCAGATGCAACTTACCTGATTCAAATAATCAGGAAGGTTCTAATGCTGCTTCAGAGCTGGCTGATGAGGTGATCATCTGAATCAGGTGTGTTGCAGCTGGGAGAGCTGGGAAACAGGCAGGACAACAGTGGCCCTCCAGGCCCGGAGCTGGACATGCCTGGGGTAGACACATCGAGAATGTGACATCATTGTTCAACAAAACACGCTCCCTATGTCACAGTGGTGATTCTTCGCGATAGCCACACCTGCGCGTTGAACATGCACTGCTATCCTGGCACCGGTTGGAAGTCGAGTAGATTGACCAAGAAGCTAAAATCTTGGACCGTTAACTCAGTGACCAGCACCCTCTTTGAGCATTCCCAGGAGTGAGGTTTGACAAATGTACACTTGCACAGCTGAGCTGGCGTCCGATACACCAAGACATGAGCACAAAATGTGCTAAATGTATTGTTAAAGGTTGATTTGTTCTACATGCAAAACGTTTGAAGCCAACTAACGATTCATTAGCGGAATGTTTAAGGAAATGGGTTATGCAAAGTTCTTTGCACAATTTGCACCACTGGGAACATTTGTTAACACTGATGACTTCATGTGTACAAATGTCTGTCAATGGCAAATCTTGTCTTTGTCTTTCTTCAAGAACTTTCTGACAAAGATTTTAGATTATCATTTTAAAGCAAGCACTTACGTGGAAATTGATTAATAACTCCAAATAGTAGAAAGAGTAGAAGCCAAAAAAAGCAGACTTGCGTTGCGGCACCCAGGGATTCCCATTGTCGCAGATGGTTTTTCAGTTTATATATATATATATATATATATATATATATATATATTTTATAATGTGTGTGTGTGTCAACCCAGCCGCTGGGGTGCAGTGCCCTCCCCTGGGGGTACACTGTTCCCCGGTGCCGGTCCCAAGGCCGGAGAGATGGGGAGGGTTGCGTCAGGAAGGGCATCCGGCGTAAAACTTTTGCCAAGACGGACATGCGAGTTGATAGGGCGGTTTGCAGGGACGGATGGGAATTGATGACTCGCTGTGGCGACCCCTGAAAAGGGTCGTGCCGAAAGGAGAAGAAGAAGAAGAACAAATGTGTGTGTGTGTGTCACTCATGACCTTCCTGTGTGGAGTTTGCATGTTCTCCCCATGCCTGTGTGGGTTTTCTCTGGGTACACCGGTTTCCTCCCACATTCCAAAAACATCCATGGTAGGTTTATTGGACACTCTAAGTCATGGATTCTCAATTAGAAAAGCAAATGGTCCAGAAATTTATTTTTCGAGGTCGTCATAAGTCTACAGAGCATGCGTGGTGGTGAAAAATGGAGGCCTTTTTTTTCCATTTCTTTCTTTGTTTTGTCTCATTGTGACTATTTTTTTGTAGTTTGTGTGATTTCTTTTTAATTTTGGAAACATTGCTAAGTTACCAAAAGCAGTGAGTGTTCACTGTATCAATATTTTGTCACTGAGAATAAAAGCAATCCAAGAGAAATATAACAGACTAAGTTTCCTCAATCTCAGAATTTGTGAAGACACCAAACTACTAAATAATAAACTAAATATGAACAAAAAAAGATCCGTACCATAGTCTTTCCAACTGCAACACTACCTAAAGTACTTTACTGGAGTTGATTAATGGGCATTCATCGCGTGACAACTGTATTGTGTATAATATTTTGGAAGGAACACAACTCTTCGTTTTTTAATTCACCCCTCGGGTAGACTATATTGTGTTAATATCATGTCACACTATTTGCATCAGACCTTTATCGCAATTGGTGGAAACCAAAGTTAGATTAATGTTTCCCATTCCAAACAGTACTAAAGTGAACTGAAATAAACAAACATCATTGCTTGTTGGGAACATAGCATAAGGTGTCACATGTCTGGAAAAGGACACCAGCAAGAAAATATCCAGTTTACCAGGGGAGTTCGTCCAATACTGTTGAGGTAGTAGAGGAAGCCTTTGGTATGGTAGATGGTTGGACAGAGAACAGGGTCTGGTTTACACCACTGACGATTCAAATCCTCTCTGTTCAGGTCACAGCGATTCCTGCGGTGAAACAAAATATATGATGGTGGTTGATTGAATTTGGGCTCTCTGATGGAATTTATAATTCTTTGTGCATGTCGCTCAGCTTTCTTTTAGAAAACAGCTGGAGTTACTGTCTTTTGAACTCAAAGACCACGTCCAAAATCTTGCAGTACTGATAGACTCAGACCTGACTTTCAGCAATCTATCAAATCAATCACTAAAACAGCCTTTTACCAGCTGAAATACAGATGTAGACTGAAGGGTTGGATGCTCCAAGGAGACCAGAGAAACACATCCACACGTTTATTTCCAACAGACTTCATTATTGTAATGGTGTTTTTGCTGGACTCCCTGAAAAGTGCATCAAACAGCTGCAGCTCAGGTTTTGACCACAGCAAAGACATCAGAACATATTACTCCAGTCCTGAAGGAGGCTTTGCACTGGCTTCCACTTAGCTGTATAATAGATTTTAAAATTCTGCTCGTGGTCTGCAAATCACTGATTGGTTTTGCTCCTGAATACATTCATGAAATGCTGATTGACTATAAACCCTGTAAACCTCTGAGATCTGTAGACTTGGGTCAATTAGTGGTGCCCAGAGTTCAAAGTAAACATAGTGAAGCTGAATTTAGTCGTTATGTTGCACACAAATGGAATAAGGAAGCAACAGTAGTGAAGTCAGCCTAGAGTGTAAATGTTGTTAAATTCAGGTTACAAACTTTAAAAAATATCTTTGATTAAGGTCCCCTCAATCATTTTTTAGATATTTTAGAAAAATCCATTTTATTTCTTTACTTTTAAATGTTTTTGAAGTTTTCCCTGCATGTGTTTAAATGTTGTCAACGTACATTCTGGTAATTTGTGTATGGTACTTTTGTTTGCTCTACTTTTGAATATTGTGAACTGTTGTACAGTATTTGTAAATTCTTGTAGGTTTTGTGTCTTTGCTTGTGTGAAGCACACCGGGTTGCCTTGTGCATGAAATGCGCTATATAAATCAAACTGCCTTGCCTTGCCTTTCAACTGAGTGCAGTGGTCATAGAACAGGCATGATGAAAGGTGAAGAATGCAGTAATCAATTCAAGTCAAGTCAGCTTTTATTGTCAAATATGCATAGAGCACAGATGAAATTACTTTCTTCTCTCAACCACAGTGCAATCATGTAGTGCAGGGGTCCCCAACCTTTTTTGCCCCAAGGACCGGTTGATGTCTGACAATATTTTCAGGGACCGGCATTTAAGGTGTGGCGGAAATAATACAACAAAATAATATGGTATGAGCTGCATGAAAACTGTGGTGTTTTCGAAATATAATAATAAACACAAGGAGCGTCTAATCTGGCTGCAACACTCTGATCGCTATGGTAATGTTTAATGCCTTCAAAATACAATAAAATGCAAATTCAAAGTGCATGAAAATGACGACTCACCACAGCCCCGAGCTTGATTTTCAGCAACCAGACGGTCCCATCTCGGGGTAATAGGAGACAAAGACACCACAAGTGTGTGTTTTGCGTCAAGGCTACTTCGTAATTTTGTTTTAGTTGCTGTTGCTGCAGAAAACCCCCGCCTCACACAGGTAGAATGTCGGAAATAGCAACAGTGCTATGGTGGCGATCTCAGAGTATTCAGCCATAACTTTATTCCAGTTGTCCCGAACGTACTTTTAAGGCTGCGGTCATTTGCGATCTCCAGCAGTTTTTTTACTCATTTTGCGAGCTCAGGCGTTTTGTTTTTAGCGTAATCGGTCACGTGATGGAGAAGCGTGCCTTGACGTGTGTCAAGCGTGACACAGACAGATGTAATGGAGAATCCGGTAATTTTTCAAAATAAAACATCTTTCGTATTCTGAAATAAATAAAACGGAATTAAGGCAAGTTCTTTCTGTGCGGCCCGGTACCAAATTCCCTGCGGACTTGCACCTGTCCGCGGACCAGCGTATGGGGACCCCTGATGTAGTGCATTGAACACACACAGCTTGTGTTCAATGTAGTGCATTGAACACAAACGTTAAAATTCCATAACACATAGATATATAAATATATTAAATAAAAATAAATAAACAAATAGCAACAACAGACAAACAAGGGCACTTGTGATTATTGTATATTCGTAGTTACTTGTTTTAAGTGCAATAATCGGAAGGAACTAGAGTACTCGGAGAAAACCTATGCAGGCACGGGAAGAACATGCAAACGCCACACGGAAAAGCCTGAGCCCGGATTTGAACTTTCAACCTCTGCACTCTGAGGCAGATGTGCTATGGTGTTAAAACTTATGATGATGTTTAATTGGCCAAAGAAAGTCACAACTATTGTGAATGATTCCTCCCACGGCACACAGAAAACTGCTGCCCGGTGTAGGACGCGGTTCAGTGTCCATGCTCCCCCTGGGCCTATCACTCCCATGACGCCACAAATGGAAAGAAACACACAAATAAACAAGCATCGCTTTGTCACGGGGATATGGTTTAAAAAAAAATATGAAGATGATAATAATAATGTGTTCAATCATTTTATTTCTACAATGATTCAGAGGGATTATCTCACACTTTTGCCATATTTATGATTATCATGTTTTCACTGGGGGCGGCCCAGTGGTCCAGTGCTTAGCGCGTCAACTTAGCAATGCAGAAGTCGTGGGTCCGGCCTCCCTGTGTTTAGTTTGCATGTTCTCCCCGGGCTTGTGTGGGTTTCTCTGGGTACGCCGGTTTCCTCCCACATTCCAAAAACATGCCCTGCGATTGGCTGGCAACCAGTTCAGGGTGTCCCCCGCCTACTGCCCGAAGACGGCTGGGATAGGCTCCAGCACTCCCCACGACCCTTGTGAGGATAAAGCGGATCAGAAAATGGATGGATGTTTTCACTGGTCCGAAACTAGTCCTCAGTTTGCTCGCTAAATTGTGACGTCAAGTACCCCGTCTTTGTGGATTTTGTAGTAAACAATGAAGTTAAATGTTGTTAGTGTTGTTGTTGTTGTTGTATTTTCATTCTGTGAGTTGTAAACCATGCATTTTGCAATCTTACTTTTTGAAAATCTCATTGAACGTATTAATTCAAATTAATGTTGTTTGGAGCTGCTCCCATCTGCTGGTCTTTGATGTTACGATATGCGCTCTCGAATAGTTAGTGTGTTGCTCCTGTATTGCACATATGTTTGTTACATAACAGTGTCCTGTGATTCTTTGTTGCTTTGTATTCAAGTTCTTACTTCTTCCACACTGTCAGAGAGGCAGGTTATATGTAGTTATTCATCTATCATTATCGCAATATATTATTATTATATATGATATATGATGAAAATAATGGATCACAATACTACTGCTGCGTAATCCCCCTCTGCCAACAAGTTGTGGGCCTTGATCATCAGATAGGAGCTGCAATGTTCTGTTCGTCTGGTGAGCAAAATGGAAAGTAAGACAATGGCTAGCGCAATGAGTCAGCGACTGACTGAGACGAGTAGCCACTGGAGCAGACAATTTTTTTTTTGATGGGAGAAGGAAAAACTACGTCGGGAGACAAAGTTTTTGCTTCACCTAAGACGACAAGGGCTCAAAGACATTAATTTGTATGATCCTGCTGACAATGAAGCAGATGATGACGATGATAGAACATCCGGCATGAAGAAAGTTTGTTGCTGGCGATGTGAGCGGCGGCAGATGATGGACGAAAGGCACCTCAAATATTGAGGAATTATTGTGCGGGCTGCAACATTAATTCATGGTAGTATGGTATAGTTTGTCATTGACTTGGTTGCGTATATGGAGTTCGCTGTACACTCTCAAGCAACATGTGGTGAAGCTATTGGTTTTTACAACCCGTTAAATACTGTAAGTACTTGTGGAAATTTACTAGTCTTTGCATCTTTGGCAATCGAACAGCTCATGTCCATGGCTAGCTGCCTCCCAGGCTTGCACCACCACTTTACAGCTAGTGCCCCAGAATTTTTTTTTTTCACTGGACCTTGGTAAAATTTTGATATCATCAGGGTCTTATTTATCTTGAGTGTTTTTCAGATACACCCTCACCTCTGTGGACACACGAACGTCTTTTCCCAGTCATCACTGTGCTGAGTTTCAAGTGGGACCACACTTATTCCAGGACACTACAGTGAGTGAGTGCAAAGCAGTTTTGCTTGGATGTATAAAGCTAACTCAGTGACGCAAATACAAGAGTGGACCACTGCGGCTGGACCAATCCTCTTTAGACTTAATTTCCAAAAATGCCTCTTGCCATATGAAGCTTAAAATTGAACTTGTGTCCATTTGTTTCCCTTAGTCAAGGGCACTTTTTTTTTCTTGTTTTGGTGAAACTAGACAGACCCTTGACTGTGTGAGTCATGACTTATTAAACGACTATGATTGGTCATGCTTCTCATTTGCGCTGGAGAAAATACAGTTTACTGTCTATTTTTGCATTCGTTGTACCTGACATGCCTGGCATTACCAATCCAAACACATTGTAGTTTTTAATTGCCGCTCTTTTCCAAATTTAGTCCTGATCAGTATTTTTATGTGCCTCTTTTACTTTGAGTGAGAATAGCTAAGTCTGACTGACTCTTTTATTACTATAGAAGGATGGTGCTGTGTTCGAACGTGACTTTTTGAATAGCGGGCTGGTATGTTACCCAGCTGACTTAGTCTCTGGCGTGGAGCTTATCTCTTTACCAATGTACAGTACAGTAAATATTCTCTAGTGCGGACTCGTGTTTGCGCTGTCCAATTTGTCCTGATAACAGAAATTCCTCATTTGGGAAATGAGCATGGTACATGTCCTTTATGAACCTGCAAGTATGTTGACAAAATGCACATGTAACAACACAATCAATAAAATACAAAAATATACTCTCCAAAAACTGTTTATATAACAAAAACTGCAATACAGGTGTATCCAAAAAAAAATCACAACAGTAAAATACGTACAGTATTTTAATGTTTATTTTTTTTCTGTCTTGGGAAAAAAATGTGTCTATTTTGGATTGTTTTGTTGGATGCATTCTTTGGTTTATGACAATGTTTGCCTGCGTGTCATACAGTTTTCTTGCTAGTTGCAAGTAACTGTCCCGTTGATCACCGATGTCTGGTAATTCTTGTGCATACTGATGGATTTGTTGCCATTTGCATTGCTTCCTCGCTGGATGGTGGCTTGTCATCAGGAGTTGAATCGATGCCTTGTTTTTTAAAGTTTCGTAGATTTGCGTCTTTCCGACTCCAAGTGTCTGCTGGATGCTTTTAACTTAGTGTCCAGCCTTGCTCAAACTGTCGAATGGGTGCTGCTTTTAAGCTCGTGCCGCGTTCTACAGGACGTTTAGTGAATAAAGTTAAAATCATTCACAATTACAGTAAAACGCACGCCAATAAAAAACTCACTTACACGTCGTCGTTTCGAATCTGATGATCGAAAAACGCGAAGTGAAAATGTGTCTCAGCGTCGTCGTTCCGTAGCATCGGGTGGGCGTTGCGTGTATTTAAGCTCCCGCGGCATGATGTTTCAATCCGGGTTACGGGTAGTGGAATTTCCGCTTACGTAAGTTCCGGTAACATGTAATATCATAGTCAAAATGTTAATGCACAGGTTTTTGTTCCGGGTGAAGGAAATTCCTTTTCTTAGAATTCCGGGTATGGGAATATTTACTTGTTAGAGGAATCTATGAGCAAAATTGTATCATGTTTAAAGTTTCATTTAATTTGGGAACATCTAAACATTTGGGTGCATATCCAGCACCCCCAAATACTTGTACACAAAGGTGCCGGCCACATGGCCGGAGGACGGTTGAAGTCCACAATTAGCACGTCAATGCAGGTGGGCGATCACAGGGGAGAGGGCGAAACTCAATCACAAAAGGGAAATGAATAATTCGGGAACCACGGTTGAACAACAAAAGACGAGTTGAGAACACCCGTCGCGCCCAGGCGACATTGGCCATCCGCAAAGTCTGCAACATGTTAATTCGATGTAGACCAGACAGAAAAGGCGCCAACGTACTGGTGGTTCAAGTTTAAAAAACAGGTAACCAATCACCACCGAGGGGCCGGACCGGGGGTGCGGCATGCAAATATCGGGGGCAGTGGTTTTCTTGTATTTTGCATATGTTCCAATAAATGTCGAACTTGTGGAGGGCGGGACTCTGAGTGTGATCGCAGAGCAACTAAACCGTCGTTCGCTCTCAGAGAGCCGCTTCTGCCGATATTGAAGACAATTTTCCTGTGTGCCGAGTCATTTCTTTAACTTTGTCCGAGAAAATCTCTGACATTACTGTATTGTCAAAAATAAGAATCCTGACCTAAACCAACAAGTCCTGGATTTGAGATCTTAAGTTGACACCTGGGGGACTGTTTCCATGACTCGCTGAACATTCGGCAAACATCGCTCAAACAATGAAACCGTGTCCTGTTGTCCCGATTGCAATGTCCATTTACTTCATGTACAGCACTTTGTATACAGCATGGTTGTTTTAAAGTGCTCTATAAATACAGTTGAGTTGAGTAAGGTGGTCGGTGCCTGTTATGGCGGCAACCCCAGAACTCGCTGGTGGACACTGACAGGAAGGGATGCCGTCAAACTGAAGGAGTCCTATCAGGCCTTTATGGCCTGTGGGATTCCAAAGCAGCTGATGGGTAGCGGCTGGCCAAGCAGAACGCAGCTTCAGCGGTCACCAAGGCAAAAACCTTGGCATGGCAAGAGTTCGGTGAGGCCATGGAAGCCGACTTCCGGACAGCTTTGAGGATATTCTGGTCCACCGATGTCTCAAAATGGGTAAGCAGTGCACCATTAACACTGTTTACAGTGGAGATGGGGCGCTGATGACCTCGACTCGGGACATTCTGAGTCGGGGCGCAGAATACTTCGAAGACGTCCTCAACTCCACCAACATGCCTTCCTTAGAGGAAGCACAGTCAGGGTACTCTGAGGTGGGCTCTCTTGTCTCTGCGGTTGAAGTCACCGACGTGGTTAAAAAGCTCCTTGGTGGCAAAGCCCCAGGGGTGGATGAGATCTACCTGGAGTTCCTCAAGGTTTTGGACGTTGTGGGGCTGTCCTGGTTGACACGCCTCTGCAACATTGCATGGTCATCGGGGAGGGTGACTCTGGATTAGCAGACCGGGGTGGTGGTCCCTCTTTTTAAGAAGGGAGGACTGGAGGGTGTGTTCTGACTACAGAGAGATCACACTCCTCAGCCTCCCTGGTCAGGTCTATTTAGGTGTGCTAGAGAGGAGGGTCCATCAGGAAGTCGAGTCTCAGATTCGGGAGGAGCAATGTGATTTTTGTCACGGCCGTGGAACAGTGGACCAGCTTTACACCCTGAGCAGTCTCGTCAAGGGTACATTGAAGCTCGCCAAATCAGTCTACATGTGCTTTGTGGACTTGGAGAAGGCTTTTGACCGGGTTATGCGGGGAGTTCTGTGGAGGGTGCTTTGGGGTTATGGGGTACGGAACCCCCTGACATGGGCTGTTGGGTCCCTATACCAGCGATGTCAGAGTTTGGTATGCATTGTCGGCAGTAAGTTGGAATCGTTTCCATTGAGGGTTGGTCTGCACCAAGGCTGTCCTTTGTCACCGATTCTGTTCATAACCTTTGTGGACAAAATTTCTAGGCACAGCCGAGGCATTGAGGGGGTTGGTTCTTGAGATCGTGTTGCCTACTTCAAGTTCTCTGACAGATTCTATTTAAGTGATTCCTGATTGCTCATCAGGTTTGGGTGTAGCTTGTGAAATTGAACTCACCTTTCCCAAATTTGTGGTTAGTCACCGTGACTTTATGAGTTAATAAAGGGATGGGGTGCAATTAGTTTTTTCATAGAGGATTAGAAAGGGTTTTTTTTTGGTGCCTTGATAGATTGAATTGTCATTTGAAAACTGCATTTTGTATTTCCTTGGATTGTCTCTGAGTGATATTAAAATTGGTTTGATGATTTGAAACCTTTGTGTTATACATATGAAAAAAAAAAATTCTGGAGGGGGGGTGGAATACTTTTTCACACCACTGTACATGCGACTTCCAAATGTGACTTACTTCTACCTCTGCACCATACTCACATTCCATTAATGACCCCATCAGGGTTTAGCATCGGGATGATCTTGAAGACAAATGTCTCTCTCAATGCCTGGGCTATTGGATCACGACTGCAGAGAAACTCGAGGGTGCCTTTCATTCCCCAGCTGGCATTGGATTCACCGGGGTGAACACGACTTGTCAGCACAATGCAGGGGCGGTTACCTAAAGAAGAGACATTGATAGTGTCTAGATTTTTTTTTCTCCATTTACTCTACAATCGCAAAATGATTGACAGTAACATTGCTTGTAAAAGAATACGAAGAAAGATTATATAACCACTGATTTTGAAACGTGCTTCACCGGCACACTCAAACACAGGGGGATTCGGCAAAGTCAGCTTTATTGTCAAAATCTTCACATGTGCTAGGCATAAAATGTAATATAAATTACATAGGTTCAGGGGATTGGGTTTGTCACTCAATAACTTTCATTACGTTGGTCTGGCTGAGCTGCTGATGATCCCTTATGGGTGTGTTTTGAGTCGTTGTCCCTTTCCTTTTCAGGATAAGAAAAACAATTACCGGTACCGCTTATTATTCTGATGGAGTCTAATTGATCCTGGTTTGTCGGTATGTGATAATAGGGGCTGACCCAACATACAGTAATTGCAAAACAAAACCACGTCGTTCTGATTCAGTATACTCTGGCTCGAATTTACTTTTTGAGGTCCACGTTGTCAGGTTGTGAGGCCAAACTGCCCATGAGTGAGGTGTGGATGATAAAAGATGTATAAATGATGTAGCAGGAGTGCCATCTCAAATGAGGCGATGGTGATGTGATAGATTGATTTTGAAATAAATTAAATTGATGAATGGGTTAACTCCCAGAAATAGGTCGTTCATCCAATTTGAATTTGGAATCGAATGTAATGTAATTTCATATTTGAACGCGAGGGCGCGCCACACCCATCTTATTATTACAAGTCCACACAAACCAATGCATATGTTATAGATCAGAGGTGGGCAAACTACGGCCCGGGGGCCGGATCTGGGCTGTTGGTCTTTTTAATCCGCCCCACCGAAGGTTGGTACACAATTAAGGTTCGATGTGAATGATTGCATTCATTTCATTTGGACTTGTAATGACTGGCATTTCAACGCCAGGTGGCACAGTTACTTGAAGTCGCAGAGCACAGGGAAGGGAGGGGGAGATGAAGAGAGAGGGAGAGAGATCGAGGGAGAAATCTTATCTACCACCTGCAGAAACAGAAATTCCCGAACCCGGTAAAAAAAAAAAAAACACATGTATTATACTTTCTACTACTATATTACATTCATTCATTCATTCTCCGATCCGCTTATCCTCACAAGGGTCACGGGTGGGTGCTGGAGCCTATCCTAGCCGTCTTTGGGCAGTAGGCGGGGGACCCCCTGAACCGGTTGCCAGCCAATCGCAGGGCACACAGAGACGAACAACCAACCGCACTCACACTCACACCTTGGGACAATTTTGAGTGTTCAATCAGCCTGCCATGCATGTTTTTGGAATGTGGGAGGAAACCGGAGTATCCGGAGAAAACCCACGTAGGCCTGGGGAGGCTGGAGCGGGAATTGAACCCGGTACCTCTGCACTTTGAGGTCGGAGTGCAAACCACTGGACCACCGGGCCGCCTACTATATTACATCTATACTATAGATTGATATGCTATAAAGGCATGTGATATTAGGAAAAAAAAAAAATATATATATACACACATACATACATAAATGTATGTATATATATTTATTAGAGCTGTCAAACAATAAACATATTTAATCTAATTAAAAATGCAACTGTCATAATTAATTCAAATTCGCTAAAAATTAATCGTGATTACTCACGCAATTTTTATGATTTCTGAATTTCCTTTTAAATTTTTTTGTCCTATTTTCCCATTTTCATGCTCTCATCAACATGGAATCATGAATCAGTTTTCTATGTGCAAAATGCAAATATTTACTGAAATAACAATTTCGATTTTCAATTTTACATGAACATTTTTCACTTGGAGCAGTTATTCATACAAAATCTCTCACACAAAATTACTGTCTATCAATAACAGTGGAAAAAAGTATTTTGTCACACAACAGCTTCTTGAACAGCTCTTTTTATGGAATCAAAATTTTGTTGTTCTACTTCTTCCTTTCATAACTTTGCTGCTGTGAATTGGGATTTCTCCATTGCGAGACTAATAAAGGTTTTCTTATCTTAAAACAGAGCAATATAATATTATAAAGTGCACATCTAAGGTAAACTAGTACTCAGCCTATAGTGGATTTAAGCCATGGTTGCATACTTCGTTTTTCTCAAGTATGCTTTGAACACAGCAGTCAGGCTATGTTGATTCTGTTGGTCCTTCTTGCTCGGAAGTCTCTCTACGGTTTTGTGTAGACATCATTTTGGATGACTACACTTGGTTAGATGACAACAATGGAGACGTTTTATATTCAGTGTGTTCACTAGGTCGCTACTACTGCACCGCTGAACTCTCGAGGTCCCTCAGCGCACCGTCGCTGTCAGACAAACACAGAGAAGCTCCACCCGCTTTATTTATAAGGCCACGGAAAACTAACCTTCCACACAAAATAATTCCAAACAAGTAACAATCGCGTCAGTTTCAGCTTGAGTCGAGCTGTGGACAATGTTGACAGGCTTGCATGCAGTAGCCATACATTTAGCTATGGCTTCAGCAAATTTGTTCTTCATTGTGTTATCCATTTTCTTCGATTTGAAATTATCCATAGCTGTCTGTCTGAGACGAGGGGGCGGAGTACTCACGTCAGCTGTGTGCTTGGCCATTGAGTGGTATTTCAGATTCGACGTGCTGTGATGATAGCTAAGTTTACGACTGCAAAACATACAGGTAACTTTGGTCTTGTCAGTGGAACAATCTGGCAACTTTTTAAAAGTAAACTTTCCATTCATAAACTCTTAAAGTATCCGTTTTCGATTTCTTGCGCTGCTGTGGCTGGCAAAACAAACGTACGTGGACATGTGCAGGGCGCTTGTTGTTTTGTGTCTGGTTTATTTATAGAGCAACGTCTGTGACGTCTGCCGCGTTAATCTCGCGAGAAAAAATTTTATCCCGTTAAAATTCATTTAAATTAATGCCAATAAAAACGCGCTAAACTGACAGCTCTAATATCTATCTATCGATCGATCGATCGATCGATCGATAGATAGATATGTGTGAATATAAAATAATTTGTTATGCTATGGAATATACAAAAAGGGTTATGGGTGTTAATGCTGATTGGCTTGCAGTAGAAGAAGTATTGTGATGTTGCTTAACTGCTATGTATTATGATGGCTTGATTAATGGAATTGATGCTTTACTATTAGTTTTACATATGTACTCAGCAACTGCCTCATATTTATTATAATTTGATGTGTTCTATGCCCATGTTCATGTTGGTCTCACGAATATGAAACATGTTTGGATTTTATCCAGTGTTTGGCCTGTGTGAAGCTGATGTAGTGATATGTATGTAATTGGAAATGATGGTTGACTCTGTGGAAGATTTAAAATACAAAGAATCTCACTATTATCCAAGTGACAGTTGTAACGAAGGGACACGGTGCCTTCTGTAGGGCAAATGTTGCCTGTGAATTCCCATTACGTAATTGTCAACCATTACATGACCCATGGTGGAGGAATTTTTCTCCATTACATTGTTGGAATGTTCGAGATGCCCCAAGGTTATATAAGGCAGCTGCCTTTTGGCTCAGGGATCTCTTCTCACTAAACGGGAGAAGCAGATGAATGATGAAGACGCACGACACACGAAGAATCGTTATACGTTGAAATAATTTTTTTTTTTTAATTTTTTTTAATTTTGGCAAATTAATGTTTTTAAACAAATAATTGAGCCAATTGTTAAAAATATTTTATTTGGGGGGGCCGATACTCTGTCTTTCGATAGGAAACAGGTCTTTATCTTCCATAATCAGTGGGGGTTCGCTTCAGAGGTGAGTAGTCAAAAATTACTTCAGTAAGAAATAAGAATTTATTGAAAGCAAACCTACTTAAATCCTAGCTCGTAAGGCAGTTCTAATTTAAAATAGATTTTTAGGGCATCAACATCAATCAAACAAAAATATAATATAGGAATACACACATTTAAGATATTGGCCCCAAAATATCATTTCACCGAAAACAACAAAATTACATTGTGATGTTTTTTTCCCCCTGTTCTTCAGTTACCTGGTGATGTCCGGGGGGCTGAGTCTCCTGTTGCACACCTTTTGGCTGTTATGATTAGCAGGGACAGTGTCAGATTGTTTGTGCATTGCTCGCACCCATAGCCGGTATTATTCACTTGTGTTTACGGTCTGCAGTACTTTTTGAGTTGTGTGTTTCCTGTCAGTACATTCTGTTGTTGTGACTGTTGTTTCTATCTTGTGCTAGATTGATTCAGTCTCCTTCGTTATGTTGAGTTCCCAGCGGCGTCCTTCTGCAGAGGCCACGTCCATTGCATTGCATTTAGATTGGTCCTAGTATTTTTTGTCAACATCGGTTTTGCTTCGACCTTCTGTCGACGTCAAGTTTGCACTTTTTGTGTTTGAATCATTTTCTTGTGTGTTCCATGCTTGTTTTTTCTTTTTTTCACTTTTTATTGTGAACGTCTCACTGCCTTCATGCTATTATTCAAATTGTTCTCAACTGCTACTGAGCTATTGTCTGCTTTTAGGGTCCATAATTCATTTTTGACAATGTGTGACATCGAGCAAATACAGGCAAAAATGAAAACAAAATAATAACAATTAAAAAAAAAAAAAAATAATATATATATATATATATATATATATAGTACTCACGCAGCTGATGAATGTCTTTATAGCTCTTGCTGGGAGGACAAGCAGTGATGGTGACAAATGGGCAGGCGTTTCCAGCAAGAGTAGGACAAAGAATCTGCTCCCGGAAAAAGACCTTCCTGGGATCAACTGATCTATGCAGTAAACGCAGATGAGCCTGATGAACATAATAGGAATGTAGAAGTGGTAATTATCAATCATGGTTATTGGTTGTTGGACAAATGTGATACTGCTGTGAATCTTACAATAAGCATATGCCATTCATATTTTGAAATAATGGCAAAATACAGCAGTGCATAGAAAAAACTTTTCAATGAAAGGAAATCAAAACAAATGCCAAGTTGACATATTTGATAATAATGTTCCGACACAAAGATTCACTTACCCTTAGAGCGGAGTATGTGTAAGGGTAATGGTATGCTAGGTAACAGACATCTTCACTGTATTTGAAGGTAATGGTGAATGTCAGTGTATAAAATGTTGTTCCCTGACTGCCACGCACGGGACAGAAGTAGTTTCTGTGGGATAAAATGAAGAAAAATGAATGAGGCCATGTGCTGAAATGAATTGTCTCATCTATTTGCATGAAGAATTTATCTAAAATTCTTGAAGGCAAATCATGCCGGTTGGGGCCTGATCTCTATATCACCATCTACTGTTTGTTCTTCTCGATGTTCGTATTGTAATAAAATTAGAAGAATTGATCATGAATTTGGAGGTTCGACTCTATCTGGAGCAATTTGCAATGGCCTACTTAAAAGAGGGGACAAAGTAAAACACATATTGTTAATAATTACTGAATCATCTCGGGTTTTTTCCAGCACAATCCATGTAATATTTGTGGTAAACTGTGTAGTCCAGTCTTACCTGAAATAACAAATTTCTGTACCAGACCTGCACCAATGGGGCCTACCATTAATTGCATCCCGGACTGAGTAAAGCACTGGCTGCATTCCTGTCGTACACAAATGCACAGAAACAATTCAGGGGGGAAAGAAAACAAAATTTCTGCTAAATGCAACAACAAAAAAGCCAGCATTCCAAGTTAAGGAGACAAAGTTTGTCGAAATTTGACTCACTGAAAATGATGCGTTATGCTCGAACAGGGGTGGCCAACCCGTGGCTCACGAGCCGCATGCTGGCTCGATGCGGCTCCCGGACTTTCAAATGACAAGCGTCGAAAACGCGTCAGCGGTGGCGCTGCCATTCAAACAACGGCGCTAAATACACAGAACTTACTTCGTCAGTCTATCACCAATCCCGTTACTTGATTGACATACAGGGCAACCAATCAGATGACAACTGAATCACCACTCATGCGCAAACAACAGTGCTCAGCGCTAAACGCTAAAGTAATCAGCGAATTACTTCAGATTTTAACACAGGGGTGCCCAATATGTCAATTGCGATCGACCGGGAGCCAGGGGACTGGTCCCAAGTCGAGCGCGAGCGTTGGGAGGAGGAAATGGGGGGGGGGGGGGGACTTTGTGTGTCTGTGTGTTTCGATTTCGTTCATGTTCGCTGACGTTCCGGCTGTCGCTCATCTCTGCGTCACTGTTCCCTCTAAGCGTGGTTTGTGAGCAAATGCGCACTGCCCCCTGCGTGTCTGCGCACAAAATATCTGAGCTGCGCACAAAGTAAAAATCCAACCAGTATTGAAAATAAAATAAATGCATAATTTATTCTGTATTATGCAACATGTGATTGGCTGTTCGTTATTTGACGCGATTCGCTCACGCATTTACGTCATGCCATTGTCACTGTAGAAAGGTTTACTCTGTAAAACGTGTTGCGAAGCTAAAGTAGCAAGCGAGTTTTCGGAGGGAAAAGTGTGGAGCGAATGGAAACTGGACGACCTCAAGCGTCACATTCAGCACAAAAGTCATTTGAATGCAGTAAAAATTGTACAACGAGGCAAGATGGGAATGGGGATCGGTACGTTATTGGCAGAGAGCGCCAAAGACCGAGAGAAGAGTAACGAGCTGTCCATTGTAAACAAATCCAACCCGGAGCAAGTCAAAAATCCTCATCGACAATGTTGTACGAGCTATCAAAATGAATGCATCAATGCTGTCAGTACAACAAATTCACGACCACATGGCAAAGTATGTGAGTATACTAGACAGTTGGCGAAGTACAAACTATGCTTTTGAATTTGTGGATTCAATCAATGCAATAGTACCGAGTGAGACAATGTACAGTGTTATAGTAGATGAGAGCACAGACACAACGGTGCACAAAATGCTCGTCTTGTACATTAAATACAGAGAGAAAAATAGTTTCAATCATAAAACTGTTTGGTGTGATAGTCTAGCTGACAACATGCACTGCTCAGGATATCGTGCAGGCAATAACTCAGTTTTACTCCAAGCATGAAGTGGACGTACAGAAAATGGTTATGCGAACCTCCGATGGTGCCTCAGTAAGGACACTGTCACGTTGCAGTTCATGGCAGTTCATACTTTGCCATAATTTATGCAAACCATTGTTAAAACAGCTATGTTAATGTGCTACACTGGTTCATGACTTTTGAGTTTTTCACTGAAAGCGGACAAACACACTTAATAAAGAAGTAACTGACAGAAACTATTGCCATAATTTCATTGTTTGAATTAAAACATGCAACTTGAATGTATATGATGCATATGATACTGCGTGACCACAATTTGCATGGCGCATGTTGCTCACAGTGGTCAATGGGACCGCTTAGGGTGATTGTGTGTTCGCTCAGACACAAAAAAAATTAGAGGGAACATTGCTCAGCGTGCGTGCGTATGCGCACGTGTGCGTGGTTGGGCACCCATGTGTGTGCATGCATGCGTGTGTATGCTAGCACGTGCGCAATCGGGTCGATAGCTTCAAAAGTCGATCTTCGGTCAAATATGTAGCAAGTAACCACTGAAGCTCGTGTGTGTGCGTGCGTGTGTGTGTGTGTGTGTGTGTGTGTGTGTGTGTGTGTGTGTGTGTGTGCGCGCGCGTGCGTGCGTGCGGTGCGTGCGTGTGTGTGTGTGTGATGAGGCTCTTTGCCATAACACAGTAAAAAAAAATTCGCTCTTAGTCTCTGACTGGTTGGCCACCCCTGTGCTAGAATCAACGTCAACTGAGCTGTGTTAAAAAACTTACAAATGTTAATCTCCCACCTTTTACTGCACAAAAAGAACAGTGAGTGGACAAGTGAATATTGACTGACTTCAGTCAGAACCTCCAGGAATCATAACATATCAACATTAAAGAAGACCACAGATTAAGTCACTAAGAACAGTAGTGAAATTTTTATTTCAAACCAAATATAATAGACAGTAGTTATTTGGTCGTGAAATCAAAGTAATTTGTGAACTTTTAAAATGTCACACTCGCGACCAATTTTCAAATCGGAAAAGAAAACAATGAAAGAATCTTCTGGGCCCCAAAACTAACTTTCTTAAAGGGAAAGTCCAGTCAAACGTGTTTCTTAACAATACCTGTAATGTGTTCTATGCGCCCACACTCATCTCAAATTGTCATTCTAATCAGTATTGTGTTTGTGGAATATTAATGAAGGAGGGAAAGCTGTCTGTTTTCCCACTTGCTGTCGACTGAAAATGACATCATAGTGCCTAGGGGCTCAGTTTACGAACGTCACAGCACAGCCTGTTTTCTGCATGTGGGCATGTAAACATCCCCAAATTGAGTGAGATTCTGCGGTTAAATAGTCCTTTTACATGTCTGCATAGTGACCATCCTGAATTTCCTCACAAGAGTAATGTCTAAGGAGAATCTGTGCAGAAACCAACACACCTGACTCAAAGGATCAGCTCATCAGCAAGCCCTGCCCTTGTGGATCGGAATTGCCCACCCTGCCATATCTATGGCAATTGTCAAACATTGCATAGTCACTGACATGTATTTTTGTTGCTGTCCAAGGAACATACTTTGGTTACGGGTGGCTTTGCAGTTTTTGTTTCCTCGTGTCATGACCGTGAACCTAAATAAATGAATGACTGCCTAATAATATACATACACAACAGATGGATGAATCACTATTTTTTAAATAACCGACGTGTGACTGTCGTTGTAGTACGTCGTGTGATTTCTTTAAGATTTTATCCATACTATGTCGGGCAAAAGAAGAATTTGTACAAACGAATATGTACAACATGGATTCTCATGTGATCGGAGTGAGTGTCCTCTCTGCATGATTTGCAACAGCAAGTTGACCAACTCTAGTCTCGCACCGGCAAAACTAAAGAGACACTTCTTGAAGCTTCATGGAGATGGGGAATACAAGAACACAACACTTGCTGAATTCAAGATGAAGAGAGCCAAATTCGATGAAAGGGCCACTCTGCCTGCTCTTGGATTTGTACCTGTTAGCAAACTGATTCTCACAGCATCGTACAAAGTTTCTTATCTGATCGCAAAGCAGGGCAAGTCACGCACCATTGGTGAAACACTCGTGAAACCAGCTGCGTTAAAGATGGCGAATCTGATTCTCGGAACAGCGGCCGAAGGTAAATTATCCCAAATTCCCCTTTCAAATGACACCGTCAGTGACAGAATAGAAGACATCTCGGCTCAAGTAGTCGCGGATCGGATTTCAAGCCCGGCAAAAATCAGCCTTCAACTCGACGAAACCACAAGCATTTCCAATCTAAGCCAGCTTGCTGTTTTTGTGCGCTATGTGAAAAATGGCATGATAAAAGAAGATTTTTTATTTTGTAAGCCTCTTACAACAATAACAACGGCAGCCGATGTGAGGAAGCTTGTGGGTGACTTCTTCAGAGTCAACAATCTTTCATGGGATATGGTCTCTGCAGTATGTACGGATGGAGCTCCAGTCATGATGGGAAGAAAGTCTGGTTTTGGTGCGCTAATCAAGGCCGATGCACTACGCATCATTGTGATGGTTGTATTCTGCACAGGTATGCTTTGGCAAGAAAAAACCTTGCCTGCAAAAATGGCAAAAGTATTAAAAACTGGTGGTGGAATGTGTGAACTATGTGCAAAAAAGTACTCTAAGGCACCGCATCTTCAGTGAGCTGTGTCAAGAAATGGGCTTTGAATTTGAGGTACTTCTGCTCCATTCTAATATACTGTGGTTATCCTGGGGGCAGGTGCTGAATTGTGTTTTTGCCATGTGTGTGGAATTAGCCCTGTTTTTGCAAGAGCACCAACATCGTCGTGCAGATTGCTTCAATATTCCTGAGTTCATTCTCATTTTAGCGTACATGGCTGATATATTGGCAGCTCTCAAACATCTCAATCAGGGTGATGGAGTCAATATCATGGAAGCGGAAGAACACCTGAAGGCTTTTCAAAAAAAGCTACCAATATGGAAACGATGAACGGAGAACAATAACTGTAAACTTCCCTCTTCTGGATGACTGTGTAAGTAAGATCGCAGATGTGTCAAGAATCGGAGATATTTCTGTATCCACGGAACTGAAGCAAACAATTGCCACACACCTAGATGAGTTTGCAAAGTCTCTCGACGGATATTTGCCGACAAGAGAATCATATCTAGCATAAGTGAGACAGCCATTCACGTTTGCTGTTGAGACAGCCGACGTCAATGATGAATTCCTTGACGAAATCATTGAAATTCAGCAGAGCCAGGTTCAACAGCAAATCTTCAGAACAACAATGCTCTCAGCATTTTGGTGTCGACAAATGAACAAGTATCCAGTTATTGCTAAGAAAACCCAGAATTTTTTTGGAACCATTTGTTACAACATATCTTTGTGAGCAATCCTTTTCGAGGATGCTGGACATAAAAATGAAGAAAAGAAACAGACTTTGCTGTGAAAATGACATGAGAGTGGCACTTGCCAAGGTGAAGCCATGCATATCTGAACTGGTCTCTCAAAGGCAACAGCAGAAGTCACACTGATTTGCAGGTATGTAATTTTGTTGTTGAGTTTATGCATTGTGTTGGTTTTGTTCTTTGAACAAGGTGATGTTCATGCACGGCTCATTTTGTATACCAGTAAAAACATATATATGTCTCGAATTTGAAAAAAATCATTTTGTTTTTCACTAAAGAGGGGTTCGGTGAATGGGGCATATGAAACTGTGGGGGCTCAGTACCTCCAACAAGGTTAAGAACCACTGCTTTAAAGTCTTATATTTTCTCCAATATGGATGGGTCGTGTAATCTGTGCACCGAGTTCCAAAATCTGTGAATGTTGCTGTGGTACTTGGACGTGCGCTTCGCTTGACTGTCCGACATTAAGCGTACAGGCTGCTGATAAAGAAGCAAGGCGGACGCAACTGAGGACGGCATGCGGACGTTAAACGAAGTGTGGGCGTGAAAGACGACACTAAAGCCACACCCACCAGTCGGTGGATATAATGCTGGTACGTGGATTGGGGAAAACAGCTTCGGACCCCCAAAATGGCACCATACATACACACGTCTTCGAAGCACAATTTAAAATCCATGCGACCAGTTACGGAGGAACATGGCAAACGTGCACGAGTGGAGGAAACAGGAGAACACGCTTCACCAAGTCAAGAAGACAAAGCTTCCGCGGAAATAAGGCAAGGCGGCCCGAGTTAGAAGACCAACTCAAGCAATGGATTCAAGGTCAGAGAAGAAAAAGGAGAAGCGTCAAAGTGAAGTTGCGAGCACCGTGACTACGATGAATGACAAATTGAGAAAACAGCTTTACAAAGACTGAAGGCAATGCCGGGCGAGTTAGGCCAAGATCTGTGAATGGATTGTGGATGCTTGGGCTCACATGTCTGGCTGCACTGATTTTCGAGCTTTTGAAAAAGCATGCATCATTTCTGAGGAGCCGCACAGAAACAAGACTGACTCGGACAATGACGAGAGGGAACCTGGTGTGTTCGATGGAGAACTTGCCCAACTGTTCATTTTGGATGCAGAAGATGAGGACTTTGATGGATTTGTAGATGCGGATTGATCAAAAAAGCATGTGAGATAGTATTAAATACTTCAATAAAGTACTACCCAACTTAGTTTTGCTTCTGCTGCCTTTTTTAAAAACCAATGCTAGCTTAGTTAGCCACCATATTGTGTAAGCTAGCGAACGTTTTACCATGCCAGCGTCCATTAATGCTTATGAATGTGTTAAATGCAGAAATACCACCCATAACTGACAATGGGCTCTTAATGCGCTGCGCCTTGTGTTAAAAGTGAAAATTGTCATACCTGACAAACTGAAGAATCAGGTCAATGGTTACTATGCAGATGCATCACAATTCTTATCCATGGATGGATTGTGTCCACCAAAACAAGAATTGATTCATCTCCGAATGACACGCCACACATGAAGTAAAATTCAAATAGATAAATGTTTTCCATCTCTATTTTCATTCACCTGTTTTTTGTTTGAAGATGGAGAAAAAAATTATCAAGAACTGAAGTAATTTTTTGGGGAGCCAAACTAAAATTCTCGTAATTTTTTTCTGTTGTTTTCAATCTGCTGGGTGCAGTTTGACAGATACTCATCACTATGAGTCAGTGTTTGCATCACAACTGTACTCACCATAGTTGAACTGGCTGTTGCTCTTCTCACAGTTGATGATGTTGAAACGGTAGGGAACATCAGGCACCATGTTACTGACTTCAAAATAAAACCATTGAGTGTGCTGGGAACAGTTGGCGTCTGCATTCAATATTAGGTCATATTCATATCTACAGAGCGAAAGAGATCAAGTCACCACAAATAATTGAAATGTCAGGAATAAAACCATTACTATTTCCAATAATCATGTGAATTAAATAAAAATAAAAGAGTACCCACACAAACCACTACATTTTGCAGACAAACAGATGACACAAGCATGCCTTTTTAAATCTATGTACACGTCATTATACTAATCGATTCCTGGCTAGTCCGACCATCCTGCCACACTGTAGGCCACCAGAAGTCTAACTCGTCACACATCTGGTTAAAATGGGTTGTGTCATGAAGTGCATTGAGCATTAAAATTGTTCTAGACAGACCATGACACTGACTTGCTCTGGTGACCCTACACGAGATAAACTCACAGTCAACAACTATCACAGATTTTTATCCCATAAGGGCAAATTCAATCTGCCCTGTATGTGAAGAAGCTCTTGATTTCTGGTTGTCTTTATTTTCGACCATCTGTTTTAACATCACATGTGGACTAATTGTGTCACTCTATATGACTATATTTCATTACAATAAGCTACAATGATGTACAAGCAGAGGCCACAAGGTATCAGACTTTTAATTTTACTTTGGACAAATCAGAAATGGCAGACAGTGGAAAAAGGAAGAGAGTGAAATTTGGCTTCTTTATCTTGAAAAGGACAAGCAGATAGACATCGATGTTGGTAATTATTGTCCTTGTTTTAAGATTGACATGCATGTAATGTACTATGTTTGGGAATACAACTACAGCGGAACCTCAAGTTGCGAATGCCCCTATTTATAAACTCAAGTTACATGCAATTTTTTTTGTTGAAAATATGTCTCTCTTAACGTATGTGTTTTGTTACGCGCACTGCCTACAATCGGTAGGAGGGGGTAGTTCATCCAGAATCCATCTGTTTAGACAAAATTCCAAGTATCAATGACGACCTTTGCCAAGTATTCAGTAAAGATCGCGTGCAATCATTGCCTCTGCACTGATGATTGTGCCAGAGATTTACTTTTGAATGCGCCACTGCCAAGTTCTTGACTCTACCAAGTATCTCAACCTGAACAGGAGGCTTAATTCATCCATCCAAGTCACCCATAGGAACCAAATTTTTCTTGACAGAGAAGAAGGGTAAATCGTTACGCCCTTGCATGGATTACTAATGACATTAGAATTAAGAATAAATACCCACTTCCCTGACTGGACTCTGCCTTTGCACCACTACAGTCAGCGACCATATTCTCCAAATTAGATCTCCACAGCGCTAATCATTTCATCAGGATTCGAGAAGGGGATGGGTGGAAAACAGCCTTTAAAATACCGTTGGGTCACTTTGAATATCGAGTCATGCCATTTGGGTTAACCTACGCTCTCGCCATTTTTCAGAAGTTGATTTGCGATGTTTTGAGAGATTTATTGAATATATTTTGTTTTGTGTACCTGGATGACATTTTGGTTTTTTTTCACAGACACTCAAAAAACACCAACACCATGTCAGAATGTTCTTCCAATGTCTTTTCGGGAGCCGTTTGTCAAGGTCGAAAAGTGTGAATTTCATGTACAGACTGTTAAATTTCCTGGGTTCATCATTGAGAAGAGTTTAAGCAGTGGTGCAATGACCTACACCCACTACCAGACAACAATTACAATGTTTTTTGGGGTTCGCCAACTTCTACCTCCACTTTATGCAGAATTACAGCAAAAAAGCACTGCCCTTAACCCGTCTAATTTCAGTCAAAGTCCCATTTAAAGTCGAAGTATTGAATTTGTAGTTAATAGTGGTCTAATGGTGACGTGAATATTTAAGAAATAGTTTTTGTTTGTTTCTGTGTTTCTGAAAAAGTAAAAAATACTCCACTTTAAAGTATGAGTGTTGCCGGAGTAGTCCGCCCATCCAGTCTCGTCGACTGTCAAACCCAAATGTTTACAGACAACAGTACAGTAAACATTAAAGGAACTAGTCTGACTGATTCCTTTTTTTTTGGGGGGGGGGGTATTAAAAATAATGATTAATACTTGAAGGTTAAATCTCTTCATTGATCAATCAATCAGTTTGAATGCCCATTTCAAGCAGGCATACCGTATTTTCCACACGAAAAGGTACACTGGATGATGAGGCGCACCTTCAATGAATGGGCTATTTTGTAATTTGTTCCATATATTGGATGCACTGGATTATAAAACGCAATCTCCAATGCATCCACTAGAATCTAGTGGAACCTGACTAGATGAAGCTACGCTCCTTCCGTTTGACTCGAGAGGTGTTCATGACCGCCTCTGAAAAATGTAAATTAACGATTACTTCAATGAAACTCCGAAAATTGAAAATAATGCATTAAAAGAGAAAATCAAGCGAGGAAATTACAAAATAAATTCTATAGCCCCGCCCAACAGAATTTATTTTGTGCGTTTTAAAAAAACATCACCACAGCTGTTTTTAGGAGCTACAAGAAAACCATATTTAATAAAGCAGTGACACAGTTCACTGAACCAACAGCAAGTTATACGATTGCAAGCATGTCTCCAGCAAGGAGCCATTTTGGGGTCAACAGATTACCGTAATGACAATCCACAAGACGCACCGGATTTTAAGGCGCACCGTGAGCTTTTAAGAAAATGGAAGACTTTTCGGTGTGCCTTATAGTGTGGAAAATACGGTACTCTATTTTGTTCTGAAGTCACATCTTGTGAGGGCAGTCTGATGAGATTGTGAGACTGTCATGATTAGTGATACTAACGTTTGAACTTGATTGTTCTTTTTTGTTTTTTTTTTGTTTTTGTCCCCACCAACCATCACAAACGTGGGCATACCTGCGAACCTGAATAGCCTTTCTGAGGTTGCCACATTCAAAACTGGAGAAGAATCTCAAGGAGTCTGGGTTGTCTGCTGGAAACTGTAAACTAAGGGAAAGAAAATAATGCAGTTTTTTTCAACTAAGAGGGTAACAACAAATTGTCATTTTAAATGTCATATACAAAGACATATGTTTTGTAGAAAAAAATAAAACTGCTGCTTTTTTGTATCCATGTATTGTTAACACTACCTGTCATCTTCCAAATCAAAGACCACTTGGTTGATGATATCAGTTTTCAAGAAACGTTGGATATCTTCAAGCACTTTCTGTCTGTCAAAACAAGAATGGAAAGCCATGCAATGAATTGACGATTAAGAAATAACATCAACTCACACCTTAAATATTTGCTTTACAATACAGCCGGCTAATAAGTAATAAGATAAGCACATTTGGTATCAGACAGTATACAGCAGGCCTGGGTAAAGTATGACTGGGGGCCACTTCCAGCCTCTCCACAGTCTGTGAGCAGCCCTAGCCACATTCATCTTTACTTTACTTAATACTCACATCAACCTCTGAAAATATAATGATCGTCCAGTTATTAGGGATTTTAGGGTGTTTTCTTCTTCATTGAGGTGCTCACTACACAGCTTATGTCACTTCACGAGAGAAACATGTCGCCCATAAAATACAAAACACATGACATGTCTTGCAACATTACAAACTTTGAAAAATGTGCAGTGCTGTCGCATGCAGACATTGACGTAATCATCGCGTATACGCCCTCCTACCGAAATTTATTTTGAGGAGCACCGTAATTGGCTGTTGCAGAGAAGAATGGCCATCAATCAAACAAAAAATAACATCACTGTTTCTTTACATTTTTCATGTCTTGGTGTTGTGCAAGTCAACATTTGCATTTCACAACACAAAAATAATTACTATGACACAATAAAATAATAATGACTGAAAACTTTACTTTTAGTTATCTTGGTGGGCGGGCACAGAGAGACAAACAACACAGCCAGCTCTCTTAACCATCTGGATTAATCGTTGGTGAAACGGGTGTCCGTACATACTTTGTTATGCTCATTGACTGTACACTGTACATACTTAACCCTGTGAGGGATGATTAAAGGGACGGATGAAAACCCTCTTCAGTCATTGTTTAATCTGTCCTTTTAAAAAAAAAAAAAAAATTCTCGTCCTTCGACCATTCCGTCCCAGGGACGGAATGCCCATCTCTGTGTTAATTATGTAGCATCAGTCATCTAGTGGAAGAGCTTTTAATTGTTCTGCATGTTACTATACATGGTTGGCAGCTCGCACAAGAAACACAAAGCGTTTCCATATACATACAGTCAAGGGAGTCCACTCAAGCAAATCCACTGTATTCAACAAACACACCCGCTAAAGGCAGGGCGTGTTTCTGTCAGTCATCAGCAGAACAGGCGTCCATTGGTGATAGACCGACAGGTCCGTCGGCACTTGACCTGGTTAGTGACGATTACACTGATGGACAAATCCCCACTTCTGTCACTGCTTAGTCCATCATTTTTTAAAAGTTTATCGTCATTTGTTAGCAAATCATGCATTTGTCGATGACAGACTGACAGACCTCCAGTCTGTACAGAATGTCGACCTCTGCTGATTTGTCGACCAGTTGCAATATATAAACTATACTTAGGACTGTATGTATTTGTTATTCTTTTGTATTCAAAATACTTTTCTTGACTGTTTTATATAAAAATGTTCATGTTGTGAGTCAGCGTACCTCTGGATGTTGGGCGTGCGTGGAGCCATGGGTTCATTTTCTCGTGGTGGGACCTGACCCCAAAAATCAGGGAAAGCAAGGGTGCTGAACCCTGGGACAGATTTGGTTTTGATGGCTGCAGCACGATACATACTGGGTTCATGGTAAGGGATGGCAAGACCATGTATGTCGATTAAATTGCCTATCATGGGAGAGTTATACGAGTTTCCAATTCCCTCATTTTTATCCTGCTCATCATTCTTCAGACCTGAGTTGGCTTCTCCCCTAGGATCACAAAAACAATTGTCAATTAACAGTGGTTACAATAAAACAGAAAAAAACATGTTGTGAGCAAATCACATTGGAAGTCATGGAGGAATCTTATTATTTACATTTTTCTTCATGTTTTTGAACAGTTCCCAGATGCACTGATAGAATGTCTGTTCCATGCATTTGTCAACATACCCCAAGGCTAAAGAATCAGTGTGCAATTTCAGCCCGATCTTTCTAGTTTTGCTGGAATCCCTGACTCCAGCAAAACGAATGATTTCTCAATCAACCAAGGCAAAAGGTACAGATCAACTGTGCATTCATTGACTATTCAAAACCTTCAAAAGTAAAAACATATTTATAAGATGGGTTCAGTTCGGCAAATAATAGTCCTTAAAGGGATACTTTACTAATTTTGGCACTTTCAGCGGCAAAAATTTCATATTTTGTCGATAATAGATTTGATAAGAGTCGCTGATGGTGTAGGGGTAACAATAACAATAATGATAATAATAATAATAATAATATATTTATTTTGAAAGCACTTTTCATCGTACTCAAAGACACTTGACATGAGTTTAAAACACGGGATAAAAATGTACACTTTAAAGCCAAGCATACATGATTTAAAACAAACACATTTAGATGAAGAAAAACAAAGCACAAATGGGTAAAAGAGATTACAAGGTGTTGGAAGCATTGCGGAACAGGTGAGTTTTACACTCGCCTTGTATTTTGTATGGGCAGCATGGGATCAAAATTTAAAATGTGTTGAAATCATTTTATTTTTCATTTCAACAGGGTATACTGTATTATCTAATTCTCAAAGAGAAGGAGTTATTTCCTTACTTTTAAAACCCTGATGCATATGATAAAGATCCACTGTACTTATAATAGTAGCTACCATTGATCCTCCTCTGTTGTGACACCCATATTCTTTCGGAATACATTGCTTTAAGAATTAGGAAAATACTAAGTTGTATTACAAATAATGATCAAGCTAGTTTTATTCAGGCTAGATTTACCCACCTCATTCCTGAGGCTTCTTATGTGTGCGACATCCGGTAAGAGATTTCCGGTAAGAATTTTGCTACACAAACAGGTTATGTTTCACAGAGCGGTTTATTTGAACTTTTTTGTTGTTGTTGTTGTTTTTGGTTTTTTTACACCCCCTTTTCTAAGCGCCCCTAAAAAATATCTTTCATGACTTGGGGAACTTAGTGTTAGTGGTTGTACGAACAAGCAGAAGTTGAATCTGTGAATACAAGAGCAATGTTTTGAACAAGAGCAATATTTTGAACTATGGTTATCCAGAGAAGATGGAGGTATGTTGTTGTGATAAACGCAAGTTTCCAGCACCTTTGCGGGGGTTGAGGATCACAGAAAATCTAGTCTGAGAGTCATTGTTTGAAAAGAGCATCAGTTCCTGTGCTCCTTTTTATTTTGTAGACAAAGAGCGTGGTGCCGCAACACGCACGTTGAACTTTCTGCTATTGTGCTTGCATTGCAGAGAACATTCGCTGTGTACCAAGTGCCACAAGAACATCACAAGAACATATTTTGGAATTTATGGACCCGAAGCGTTTTTGTCAGTAAGCTGTAGTGAGCACCGATGGCGAGGAAAACATTACGCTGATAAAATTCCACATATTGGGGCCGAACGTTCTCATACTTGCAGCGGGCAGTTCGAGGTGACATAAGTAGAGATGTGCATGTAAGCTTTGAAAACTGATCAGATTTTAATGACATTGAACGATAAGGAGCTTGTTTGCATTAAGCAGCACAGTCATGTGGTTACCATGCAGTGAGAATTCGCCAGTTTGGTCGGCTCCTACATTATCATTAAGATAAATAAGAGTGTGTCCGACCTGTTTTCACAAAACAAAACCACATTTATTACTGTGTCGGTACTGATGTGCCTCAGAGTTTTTGAGATTGCTCGCTGCCTCACCGTCTGAAAAGAACAGAGTTCGGAAAGTCGTTCAACTTCTTTTAATTTACTGTATTTGGAACAGTACATTGACAAGATTAAAATTTAGATTTATATTTAAATCATTTGTATGAAAATGGCTCACTGAATTAAAAAAAATCTTCAAGTGATTTTTGATTCTTTAAAGACTTCCTCGGTTGTCAAAATTTTGTCTATCAAAACATGGCTGATCATTCAACAAACAATAGCAAACAATCTGAGTACAACAGGAAGTGGGACACTTGCTTTCGCGAGACAGCGATATCATTTAGAATATTTGTGCTTTTCAAGACTACTTTTAAGCTGCACCCATTGGTATGGTATTATGTTTTGTTATTATTTCTTTACAACTGTTATTTCTTTTGTCAGCGGAATTGTTAGAATGATGATTTTAAGACATTGATGGTGATGATGATGATAGTCATGGCAATGCTTGTGTTGATGAAAGGGTGATTGATGTGGGTGGATGGGTGTGTTCTGTTGGGAAATGTGTTTAAAACCTGTGTTTTCTGTTCAAAATGTGTTTTCTTTTATGAATATGCAGAATCACTGAAATTTAAAAAAACAGCATGCCTAGTTGAGGACATTCCTTGGATGAGTGACTGATTGTATATACTGTACTGACTGACTGTACATATTGTACTCAGTGTACTGTATGGCCCTTACCAAGGGAGAAGTTTAATCATCCACATGTATAGAAAAGATATCCATTTATTCTTTGAGGTGATCATTAGTCAGAAACCACAAAGAACAAATATGAATGACTTCCAGCTTACCTTGTCTCTCCAGTCTTGTGTCCAACTTCAGATTTGGTGTTGAGGATACCAGTATGACTGTAGAAATCTTTTACCTTTAATGGGCAAGCAGCTACATAGTGGACACACAAAATGTCGGTTGGACATGTAAGAACATTTTCAGGTAATTAATATTTGGTCATTAAAATGCATTTTCTACAACATTTTGTCTAAATATGACTAGTTACGGTATTTATGATTTCCAGTATCTATGCAATGGAAAAGTCAACAAATTGAAATCACATTATTGAAACAATATGTAACATATTTCACAATTTGTACACAAGCTGCAATACTTAATGATAACTACAACATGATTTACATTTAAATTTAGAGCCTGAAAATGAAACCGTTGCACAATTTCTGTGCAACTTCTGTATGAGTTGGTCAAAACAAAAATGATATCAGTGGACTGTTGCCTGCTTCACCAATTTTTTCAGAGGTCATTTTGACACCTTCAGGCAGACCAAAACATGACTTTGCCACCTGCTTGCTGATGGCACCTTGTTGGAAAATGCTAACGATGTCACTGTGCTTGGCTCATATATCTGTAAAAGCACCTCAAGAAATGCCTAACCTCATCAGTCATGAAATCCACGAAGCTTCGAATGCCCCTCCATTTTGTAGCCTGACATTTGTCAGTGATTAAACAATTCAAGGATTTCTCAGCCGATGGCTGAAACACATTTTCATTATTTTACACGATTTGCAGGTCGTGAGGATAAGTGGTTCAGATAACGGATGGATGGATGGGTAAATGGAATGTACTTTCAAAACAGGGTTTTCATGATACTCTAGAAAGCCATGAAATGACGCCCAAGTTAGGCCACTGGCACCCCAAGCAGCTGGATGGCTAATTGCTTTGTGACAAAAATCGGCTGAGTATGGCCAAAAACAATCGAGCCTAACTCTTGTATATTCGAGCAGTTGGCAGCGAAAGAATTTTAACGGTACAAGCACCTCACCTCCCACCTACCTTTTTAGCAGCTTGCTTTGCCTCTGTATATTACATTAATTCTGTAACTCCCTGAATCTGCCATTTTTTTGGTTGCTATTGTGTGCCATATACAGTACTCTAATCACAGCCTCACCTGATTTGGTTTGATCGGGTGTTCCTTTCTCTGTCCGAGAGAGAATCTCCGCAGTTTGTTTTTCCCCCCTGAAGGGGTGGAGGTGCAAATGGTTGCAATGTCCAGTTTCGTCATCAGATGAAGATGATGATGAACTCTCTTGTGAACTGAAATCCAGCTCCTCCTGTGAGACACAGATGTTCGCTGTTTTGTGACAGGTGTTACATGAAGAGAGATAAAAACTTTTGGCTCTGTTGGTCACAATGACTGGAATTGCTAAAACATATTCAATGTCAGAATGCCTAAATGATTGCTTCTATGTTTTATGATTGCTTGCAAACATACTGAGTGTATGTATGTTTGTGTGTGTGCCCTGTGATAGGCTGGAAACCGGTTCAGGGTGTCCCGCGCCCTGCCCGAAGACGGCTGGGATAGGTTCCAGCCACACACCCCACCCCCGGCCTCCCCGCGACCCTTGTGAGGATAAAGCGGATCAGAAAATGGATGGATGGATA